GGGGTCAGGTAAATTTTGTTGTGACACAACCAACATCTACTGAAGCCCCCTCCCCGTCCCCTTTCCAGTGATAAGAAATGACCAGTGCAAAAGTTATTAGTTCCAGGCCTCCTTCTTGTTTATATCTGACGTCACTACACAATCATTAATGAATACTTCACATTTCCTTGAAAAGATTGATGAGTTGTAAGTCTGACTTAAATTAATTCTGCTGAGTTTCGTTTTTGCATACAGATTCCATAAGAAAATTCATTACTTGACGAGGGAATTCCGCATTAAATTACACACGAAAACCGATATCGCACGTATTGCGTAATTGAATAAAAACAAGAAAAAAAGTGAGAAAAAAATTAAAAGAAAAGAAAACAGCGTTACTTATGACTGTTATGTATACGCTGATGCAAAACAATATGACTTAGCCTTGTTTTCAACTCGCCGATTCCACGCTTAATACTTCTCTTTAACAAATCAGATTCAATTCAATGATTCGACTTTAAAGGAAATTAATTTGGTCTCCAGTGAAAATCTAAAGATATTTTAAGGATCTTAGCGTTGTAGCTGGCGTGATGGTCAACTTGTTTTATCTTTTATATGAGAGCGGAAAGGTTCTTTATTACTGATCATTTTAAATTAAATGCTCATTTAACTGGAATCACAAGTCAACCTCCACAAAGTTCTCCTGTTCTAAAATAAATGTTAAAAATAAAGGCCAGATTATTTTTAACGGATCCATAAATTTAATGAGTAGGACTTGGCTTGGTTCTTCGTTGTGACAGCATCATAACCAAAGTCATATTCAGTCGCACCTCCACTTTCTTCAACAAAAGAAGCAGCGCCAGTTTCTGTAATTCCAATCCCATGATCAGCACGTGCACAGCTTCTTCCTCCTCCACCAATCATCATCACTGATCCATCACCACTACTCCAGTCACACCAGAAGCCGATCTTGTTGGCGCTTTGGATGTTTCCACTGCACTCAGCCTGTTCAAACCCGTCTGTTGACTTGTACTGTCCACCATATTGAACCGAACAGTTTCCAAGACACTGATCACTGGCCTAAACTGTGCCATTTCTAAAGTCGTTATAACTTGTGATTTTGGATCGAAATGTTTGTCCACCCAAACAGTTACCTGTGGTCTGTAACAGAGGAGTGTGATTGGGGTCATCACTGCGCGTGATCTTTATTTCTTTACCGCTGACCAAAAGGCTGTTGAGATCATATCGTTGTTCACTGAAGGGTCGTTTGTCGCTCCAATAGCAGCTTTCTGTTCATACCACCAGTAACCATCGTCACGCATCCAATTCTTGCCATCGCTGTTTGAGAATCGAGCGATAAGAGTCCAGCCTGCAGAGAAAGAACATTTCTAAACTTTTCTGTCACGGTTTTTGATAACAATATGTAGAAAGGTCAGTGTTAGGATAGTTATTTATTATTTTTCTGGCTTGTAATAAATTGTGCAGTGGTCTCGCCTGTCTTCTGTTTTTTTTTTTTTTTCCTTGGGGAGGTATTACCCATTGCCGTAAAACGGCAACAAATTTTAACCGTAAACCGTAGAGAAAAAACTCGAACTCAATTAAGCTCTTTACAGGATATTATCATCCCAACGTCAAAGTAAAAGTTTCGTCACCGAAACAGAAAGAAACTGGCCTCTTAGCCAAGCACTGCTAGTGAAGCAGACATTACTTTTCAGCTGTTGTAAAACAATATTCCCGT